CTCTCACAACTGAAAAAGGCCTGGCTCAGATGGCTTCACTGGAGAATTCTAGTAAACATTCAGATAAGAGCAGACATCAATTCTATTCAAACTATTTCAGAACACAGAAAAGGATGAACTACTTCTGAACTCATTCAATGAAGGAAGCATAAAAATACTGATACCAAAAACAGGCAATCACATTAATTTGAAAAGTTAAATTATAGCCAACTACTCCTCACAAAAGGAGCTCTGGTAGTATAGTGATTACGAATTGGGCTGTGAACCACAAGGTCAGCAGTTCGAAACTACCAGCTGTTCAGTGGGAGAAGGATGAGGCTTTCTGCTACTGTAAAGATTTATAGCCTCGGAAACCCTGTATAGGAGTACTGGTGTGGTGCTGTGGGTTAATGCACCAGACTGCAAAGCCATTTGAACTGCAAGGTCGGCAGTTCAAGCTCACCAGCTGCTCCTCGGAAACCCTATACAGGGTCACGATGGGTCAGAACCGACTCAACATCACTTAACAATAGCAAATCCTCATGAACATTGGTGTAAAAATTCTCAACAAAATCCTAGTCAACAGAGTACTTCTGGCAAGATGGTAGACTAGGCAGACATACTACACTGGTTCCTACACAACAAAGATATGGGAGATCAAATAAAAGCAGAAATTGATGCTAATCCTGGAATACTTAGCTTCAGAAGAAAAACTAGAGAAAAGGATTGAGCATTTAATGGGAGGAGAAGCTGAGCTGGCGTGGTGCAAGGAGACTGACTGGTGGATACATTGCTGACCAGATGCAGCACAGACATCTTGTGTGTGAACTGAGTAAAGGTTTACAGAGCAGCTCATCAGTTTATATTCAACAAACCATTCATTGTGATTCATTACAATGACTGCAATCTCCTCCATGTATCATCAGTTAACAATATTTACCTCTACTCACTTTAACTCTTGCATTCCTCCCCAGCTTTCCTTTGCCAATCCCCTTCTAGTTGTATATTGCCTTCACTGTCACCCATGTTAACACATGTCTAACCTCTAGCCAGTGAATTATTGTCCCTTCCTTCCCACCACTGGTAACCATCATAGAAAGTTTCTTTTATCAAGCAAACCTTTCCTTAACAAAAAGAAAAGAAAAGAAAAGAAAACCTTTCCTTAACTTTTTACAACTGTGGTCTTATACAGTATTTGTCATTTTTGATTGACTAATTTCACTCAGGATAATGTCTTCCAGGTTCATCCATGTTATGAGATGCTTTTTGGATTCATTCTTAGTTTATCTTGAACTTTTGCAAATACATTTGGAGGCAGACAGTGGGGTAGCCTGGTGGTCTGGATTCACATGGGAGACGAAAAAGGTATGATTCCTTCTTGTTCCCCACACTCTCCTAGAGACCAGAGGTGTGGCCAGATCCCACCCTCATCTACCCCCCAACACAGACCCTGCTCTCCAACAGTTTGGAGACCTCCTGTTGTGAGCCATCCAAGTGTGAGGCAGGTGCCAGCTGTGCTGTCTGGGGATCTGGACTTAGGCAGGCTCTTCTCTAGACCTACAGAACTCACAGAGCCACCAGGCCAGCATTAGACTAGCAGGAACCCTCATAATCAGCCTCTGATTTTGAGGGACACTGAAAGTCAGCAACATTAAGGACCTCCAAAAACTGCTTCCAGATTAGGTGCCCTGAACATAAGCAACACATAGGTCTATAGGAAGGTCACCTAGGGTAGGAAACTCGGTTGTACATACCTGCACCACCCACCTTGTGAGCACCTTGGCTGGCAGGAGCCTCCCAGAGTTTGCTCCTCTCTGGGTCCACTAACTGCACAGGTTTGGGTTTTATTTTTCTCTCATTTTGTTACTTTGTAGTTTATACTTTCATCTTCTCTTTCCCTCTCCTTGATTTTTATCTTTTCTATCTCCTCTTCATTTTTTTTTTCTTTTTTTCTGTTTCTCATTCTCCCCTTTTCTTTTTTTTCCTCTTGAGTTTTCTTTATGATTCTTTAGAATCATTCTCATTTTATCTTCCCACTCTAGTTTTTAAGTGAGTTTTTCTCTTCCTTTCATCTCTTTTATTTTTCTCTTGGACAATCCTATTTTCCTACACGTCTTTTCTCTTTCTAGTTATTATATTTGTTTTTTCTTGTTTCTGCCCATTTATTCTTTGTTCTCCTTTATTATTTTCAGGTTTTTTCAGTTAATTGTTTTTTTGTTTGTTTGTTCTGTTCTGTTTTCTTGTGTGTGTTTTCTCTTCTTATCCCACCTGATGGGAGAGAGTAAACATGCCCATACAGTGAGCTCCACCCACTAGACAAGAGTCAATATCAGCTCCTATACTACCTGATCATGGAGTCCTGGTGTGGCACTGTAGGCTAATGCATCAGACTGCAAAGCCGTTTGAACTGCAAGGTCTGTGGTTCAAGCTCACCAGCTGCTCCTTGGAAACCCTATGCAGGGCCGCTATGGGTTGGATGACTCAGCAGTAATTAATAACAACATACCACCTGATCAACAATAGATAACAGCCAACACGAGCCAAATTCACCCTAAACTGAGCTGGAGCTGGATGCACAGCAAGCAGAAAAAGTTGTACATTCTTCCATTCTCTATTCATACCCACCAGGAGATGGTGAGAGCATAAGAACACACCAACATACAGTTATCAACTAAATACAAACCCAATGACATCACTGTGTATCAGTGACAATGGACTAGTTTAGTTCACATGAAGACAAATGACCAAGCTGCAGAGTCTAAAAACATTTCTGAGGAAGGAAGGTAATGGCACTAAATGAGAAAGAATTCAGAAGAGTGATATTTAGTACCTCAACAGAAAAATAAACTGAGAAGAGCAAGGAGAACACAGAAAAAAATTAGAAGAATTTGGGGGAACACTATAAGAAGAAACATACACAACAGATGCAAATTTTGAGAAAATGCAAAACCTTCAATTAGAAATACAGAAATGCAGATTAGTACTAAGATTTTAGAAATGGACAATACATGGAAAGGACAAAGAAGCAGATTCTGATCAATGAATGCCATAATTACTAAGCGCTTACAGATAAATCTCTCAATATTAGTAAACTAGAAAAATACTCAAAGATTGAAAAAAAATTCCAAAGAAAGTCTAAGATTTATGTGGTACACCATGAAGAGGAATAACTAATGTTGAAAGAGTTGTTGGAAGAAAAATCCCCTAACATCATGAAAGACAAGAATACGAACATACATAAAGCTAAACAAACCTCAAAACAAATAGATCCCAAAAGAAAATCACAAAACCAAAAACAATGAAAGACTCCTGAAAGCAGCTTGGGAAAAATGAAAAGTTATCTATAAAGGAGAACCAATAAGACTAAGCTCTGATTTCTCAGCAGAAACACTACAGAGAGTTGGGCAACATAGTGAAATATACAAAACTCTTAAAAAAAAAAAAAAATGCCAACCAAGAATCATATATACCAAGCAAAAATCTCCCCAAGTATGACAGTAAAATTAGGAAATTTCCAGATAAGCTGACTTTAAAGGAATTTGTAATAACCAGACCAACTATACAAAAAACACTAAAGGGTGTTCTTTGGACTTAGAACCAATAACAGCAGACAACAACCCAAAATTAATATACATTACAGCTTCACCCAGAAGGCAATCTAGATATCGAAGCATTTAAAGTAAAACAAACCTGCAAGACTGAAAACTGGGAACCAGATATTTTCATTTATAATGAAGAATAACTACAAAGCCAAAAGTGGGGGCAGTGTTGATACGAACATCCAAATGGTGAGGCAGTCGGGTAGATTTTATGATTTTATATTTGGGGGGGGAGGGAATTAATAAATTATAGGGAAACCTTAAAGTAAACAAATACATCTTCCCATAAAAATTAGAGGGAAACCAGAAAGATTTAGGACATTAGGCTGAATGAAACTAGGCAAGCACAAAAGGACAAATATTGTATGAGGCCACTGTTAATAACTTTCTGAGATAATCTTTAAACCCTGAAATATATCCTGAAGTTTTCGCAAAACAAATAACACTTTGTTGTTGTTGTTAGGTGCCATCAAGTCAGTCCCCACTCATAGCAACCTTATGCACAGCAGAACGAAACACTGCCCAATCCTGGGCCAACCTCACTTTAGCTAGAGAAACATTACTTTGAACACTACCCTTTTAAGATTTATCTATATGGGATCAAATAAACAATTGTAACTTGGAAGATGATAGGAAACTAAAGGGCAGTGAGTTTATATTACTGGAGGAGGAAGAACTCAGAAGAGGAGAATGACAACGGTTGCCTAACTTGAAGAATGGAATCAATGTCACTGAGTTGTACAAATAGAGAGTATTGAACTGGTACATGTTCTGCTGTGTATATATTCAATACTGACAAAAATCAAGTTGTTTTTTTAAGGGCACAGTTCTGGGCCTACTCTTAAAAGGAATCCAACAGCCACACTGCAAGATTCAAGTCAGAACAAACATATTCATTTTTATCTGCTTCATTCCCATTTCATCTGACACAGAATTAAGAAAACCAGAGACACTGAATGGTCAGAAAATAAGTGCTTTCCTTTACAATGTAAACTTAAATGTTCTTTATCAGGTTCTATGTTTATTTTTTGCTAAGTATGTACTTGACATGTAATATATGCATTTAAAAATAATGACCTAGTTTTTATTTTTTTCTTCAAAACTAAGACAGTAAAAAGGGTACTTTTAAAGTAAAGATATGTTATCATAATAGAAGGGGAGCACTGTGGATCTGTAGGATAAGCACTGGACTACGAGCCCACCAGTTGCTCATAGAAGAAAGATGAGGCTTTCTGGTCTCACAAAGATTTATAGTCCCAGAAACCCTATACAGGGTTGCTATGAGTTGGAACTGAGTTGACAGTAGTTAACAACAACATCATATTAGAAAACAATTTAGACACACGTGTTCATTCAGTTTTTCACAAATTCAACCAATTTCACTGCTTGCCAGGTATCAGATCTTACACATATTAAACATACCTTTGATTTATGTGCTTGATGAATAATCTTCAGTTTATCTGAAAGTAAAAAACAAGTTGTCTTTTTATAGACTTATTCTGAAATTTCACTTTAAATCATTACATGAGAGGTTCATTTGAAGGGGAGAAGCTATGAAACTGAAAATTTTGCATCCTTGACTGGCATACAGTAAAGGAAAAATTACTTTCACAAAACATTAGAATTACAGATCACACAGCACACAGATATTCCTAGTCTTGATCTCTGACACACATACACAACTGCCATAAGCTGACGTCAATGCAGCAGATTGTCACTTGGAATAAAAGCCAAATGAACCATATTACACTATTTTGTTCTTCGGAGACATTAAAGGCTAGGATGCATCCTTCTGTGGTGCTATAGGATAAGCACTAGAATACTTAATTGAAAGGTCAATAGTTCAAACCCTACACAGGGTCACTATGAGTTGGAAATGACTCAGTGGCATACAACAACAAAGACTAGGATTAGCCAACAACATAAAAATGCTTGCTTAAATTAACACAGACATTAGCAAGAGTTTTTTAAAAATCTACTAACCACTCAGAATAGATATAGTGAAAGGACATCAAATTACTCTTCTAAAAATGTTTTACTACTCTCAGAATTCAAGCACTCTTGAGGATCGTTGGTAATATGGGTAAAACCACTACTCCCAAATACCAATATCTGGCTCCTGGGTTTCAGCTATTACACAAGCTCACAAAACCTAGTCTGCTTCATTCATTCCTTCCTTCTGTACTAAATCTATTGATCTGGAAGTCAGGCTACCATATGTTTTCCAATTGGTAATTTCTCCACAGTTGGTAAAAGTCTAACTGCAATACTCAGCCTTAATTATTTAACATTCAACAGGTTTAAATTCAGAAAACCTCCATATCTTCAATCAGTCCTATTTAACCATGTAACTAATAATTATGATTATACTGTCTTGAGCATTATATGTGGATAAAATTTTGAACTTCAACTAAAATTCATTTTGATTAATCACACGGTAGCAAGATATTCCAACAACGACATGCTGATGAGTTTGAACCACCAACCTTGTGGTTTAAACCAACCATAAGGTTCACTGCTTATCCTACAGTGCCATACCAGGACTCCCTTACTAGAAATAGATACTAATTTATTACTTGAGACAAGCTAGAAAAGCCAATAGTAATATTTTAATAAAGAATTTCAATTTGTTTAGGATTAGCCTGTAAAACTGTAGTTTGACCTTATGCGTTCATTCATCGTTTTCTGTATATTTTCTTAATGAGTCTTTAAATTTAGAAATGTAATCTCTTTGCTGTAATGCACAACACCACAACAAGGCCACATTTGTTTTAGCAGAAAAAGTCTTTGAGCAGAAACTTTCACCAGACTTTTGTCTCCAACAGAAATTAAGGAGACCTGGGAAGAGGATAAGAAAGGAAAAACAAGAAGCAAAGCAAAAGCTGTATTAATGTCTCTTTATTTACTGAATAATTTCCTTCACTTATTCTTATATTTCTTTATATAAAAAAAATAAAAACCTTCATTATTAACTGAAACAACATTTGTTGACATTGTTTCCTCAAAGCAAATTCATCTAAAGTAATCTCATAGAAATAAGGACAATATAATACATCTGTGGTACATTTAACATGTTTGCACAACCATAGTATAATCTAATCTTACACACCCTATGAAACACACAAGCATTATGAGTAACCATGCTTCTTTACAACCAGCCAGCATTTATTGTACAGTGCACCTTCGAGGCAACAAGAATTTAGGTACCTCTGGCACTTTCTGAACTCATAATCTGGCCAAGGAAGAGAACAGTCAAGAATGGTAAAAGAATAACAGATGTAAGTCACCATGAACAACTGCCTCTTTGCCATGAGACCAGAACTGGATGATGTCCAGCTACCATTACTGAGTATTTTCAGCAAAGAGTATATAGCAGAATCTTGATCAAATGGGAAAAAATGCAAAACAGAATTTTAAATTCTCATGAACTCTAGATTTTCTAGAATTTTGGAGGCTGGATGAGTTCCTGAAACTTTTGTTCTGAGGTAACCTTTAAACATTAATCCAAAAATATTCTTTGATGTCTCCTTAAAACCAAGCTGTAGTTGAGCTTAACTAATAAAGTGTGCCTGCCTTGAGCATTGTACTCTTTTAAGATCTATCTATGCAGAACCAAATGAACTATAGCAACTTGTAAGTAATTTAGTGGGCAGTGAGTTTATGTTAATGGGTGAGGAAAACACAGAAAAGGAGGGTCAGAATGATTGCACACCTTGAAGAACTATACCTGTAGAAACTATTTAGCTGGTGTATGTTTTGCTGTATATGTTCTCAACAACAAGA